TTACCACTACACTTAGTCAGCAGCCCCAGGAGAGCCCTTTCTGCCGATCATATTAGCACATGTTTCTTTCCTGGTATTTAAATATATGTCAAAAAAGTAAAAGCCTCGTCTGCCGATTCTGGCGAATCCATCCTGTTAGACTGAGCAGGGCTGAGGTGTTTTAGCGCTGTGACTCCTGCCCCCGCCTCCTCCTTCCCCATGGGCACATAGCCAGGGTAAGACTTCATCCTACAGCTGAACATGGGCCCTGTGGGATCAAAGGATGGCGGACTTCAAATCTTCTCCCAGGGCCAAATCTTCCGCTTTAGAATAGCCAGATACTTGAGTACCCTGATGACTGCTCTCAGAGTGTTCACAGGAGGCGCTGGAGGTTAGAGGGAGGCAGATAGCGCGCAGGGAGATGGACTGTCTTGGCTCGAGGCAGAGGAGCTTTCCTAGATCCTGTATCAGGGCGGCAGAGTGCAGCAGTGGGGCCTTTCTGGACCCCCAGCCTTGTTTTTTTTTTTGGTTTTTCTCCGGTACCAGGAACCGAACTCACGACCATGCGCTTGCCAGGCAGGCGCTTTGCCGCTGAGCTAAATCCCCAGCACCCCCCAGCCTCGTTAAACAACTTGGTAAAGCACATCCATAAAGCCTTCTAGCTTTTCCTACTGATGGTGCTTTCCCAAGTGGGTCGGCCCATTTTGTGGCAGAGCCCTTAGCTCCTGGGAGAAATCTACGATGTGCATATTCTTTGTGTGGAAGAAAAGTTCCTGTGGCTAAAGCTAACCACCCTCCTCACTTTCCATTTCCTTCTTTCACCTTGTTGCTAATGCTGTAGGCTGTCTTTGATTTCATCCGCCTTCTCCTCCGCTCCACTCTGGTGAAAGGGCTGCCCTTTCTCTTGGTCGAGGAGGAGGCCACCTCCTAGTCCAACTGCTTGATCATTTCTGGCCGTTATTAACTGCCAACTTCCCTTCTTGTACAGACTTAGTCTCTTGAGGTTTCCTGTTCAGTCTGTGCACACATCTACGTTTATCTTCATGGCCCTGGATCCTCTTCAGCTACTGCCTTATCGCTTCATTCACAGTCAAGTTTCTTGAAAGAATATCCTTGGAGTCTTGTGAATTCTCCCTTCTCGTCTGCTTTTCAACTTAGGGGATATCTGTCAGCTTCTTTCTTTGTAAGCTGTTCAGGCAAAGAGCACCCTCACCTTTTCCTAAAATTAAGTCCACTGGGCATTTTGCATTCCTTGTTGAAGTCTGTTCTTTGGGTCATTTGAACAGTACTGTTAATTTCTTTGGAAATGCAAACCACTCTTGCAGCTCATCCTACTATGAGCATCCTTAACCCTCTGCTCTGCTGATTCACTTCCCTCTTTTGCCCTTCTCAGAGCCCTCTTTTCTCACTCAGACCACTCTGGCTTTATGTACTTTTAGTAGGCCCAGGGCTCCCACACCTTTATCTTCAGCCCAGACTTATATACATGGTCCTGTGTCCGCACAGCCTAATCCCCGGGTATGACTCGGCTCACCATCTTATCCTGCCCCTCTCTCCTACACACACACAGATGTATGTACATGCTGCCTCCTGAGGGCTTTATCTCAATAAATGAGTCTACTAGTTACCCTTTGTGTAATTGAGACCCTTGGATTTGTCTTGGGCCCCCTTTTACCTGTCTTTCCCACTCACTTAGTTAATTGATGTATCCTGCTAATTCTGCCAGAGATCTGACTGTTCCCTTGTTCTAGGCCAGTGACGGTGATAACTGGCTTTTTAGAGCTTTCGATAATAACAAACAAACCATTTCAGCACATGCCGTCATATGCTGTAGGTTCACCACCACTGTTTAGGGCCCTTATCATTTTTCTGGCTTCCACTATTGCGGATTTCTGCCCAACCCTCCCCTTGATCTGTCCTTCACCATGCTTACTGCTGTAAGTGCACTGTAACATGCAAATAAGATCATAAAACTTCACTGCCCGCAATGCCTCAGCGTGTCCTATTACTAAAGTCCAGATTCCTTACCATGGAATACAGGGTTTTCCAGGGCTCCTTACTTACTGTGTGCATTCATCTACCTGACCTTCCCCTACCCCTACCCCTACCCCTACCCGTACCCTTACCCCTCACCCAGCTGAGCATTTTGTAGTTTTCTGTTTGTTTCTTGGAGGCACTGAGGATTGAACTCAGGGCCTTACACATACTAGGTAAGTGCTCTAGCACTGAGCTAAATACCTAGCTCTTGTTATTTGTTTGTTTTTGTTTTGAGAGAGAGTCTTACTAAGTTGCCTAGGCTTCAAACTTTCCATCCTCCTGTGTTAGCCTCCTGAATAGCTGGGACTTACAAGTGTGTGCCGCCACATCAGGCATCATTTTCTAGTTTTCCTGATGCCATGGCACACGCCATTTGTCTTTTTCTTAAAATTCTTACTCCTGACTTTCTGGTAAATGTTCATCTACTCCCACAGCAAGCCTTGGCACTTTGAGAAGTCTTTTCTACATGCCTCTGCCCCTACAGAGCTGATCATTTCCACCTTTGTAATCTACTTGACACCCCACTGCTATACACTGTACAAACCTCTCTTAATGGCTGGATTTGTCCTGGGCCCTAAGAACTCGGAGAAAAATGTTTTAATGTGCAAGAAATTGAATGTATGTGGTTAGTTGAGATTTAATACCAACCACCCTGAAATTCCAGTTCTCTCACTAGACCACAAGCTCTGTGGGGATAGGTACCAAACCAACTCACCTGCACTGGAAAGGGCAAGGCGTTGGCTTCAGTAAGGCTACATGCATTGTGAATGAGTATAGACTTTAACAGAAATTAGTGAATCACCTATAGCCTTGACCTTGTTGCAGGAGACAAACCTAGAAAACCAAATTGTAACTGTGGTGAATCTCCAGGTTTGCCTTCTATCTTTGCCTTCCTAGAGAAGAGGCATTGTTACAATGCAGATAGCAACAATTAATATTTAATACAGCCTTGTGTCCTGCAGAATGTCCAGAGGAGAACCGTGAAGTACAGAAAGGGTATGACTTGTTAGAGGTTGGTAACACTGCCTGCTAACAGTTGAGTGGGACTGATTCTAGACCCTACACTCTTGTTATCATTACACACTGTCCCAGAGAGTTTATCAATATGAGATTTAAAGAATTACAAATTCCTTTTTCCTCTGTTGTCCTCATTCTCTTTCCAACAAAGAACTCATTTACTTTATCACACACATATACAGTGAACTCTTTACCTCATTATCCCATGTGAACTGAACTGCTAATTTCAAGCACGGTAGATTAGATCCCTCACTTCTGGGAACTTGAGAGCCTTCAGACAAGTACTATTGAGTCAGAGAAAAATGTTTTTGATGTGCAGGACATTGCATGAGTGTGTGGTTAGTGAAGATTTAAATATTGCATATGATTCATTCGTTCAGTAGTCCTTGTTGAGCCATCTCTCTAACCACTGCAAAGCTGTCACATTCTCTTTTCTCATAGGGATCATAGGCAAGTGGGAGAGACAGATATTAATCACAGATGCCTAAAGAAGACAACGCATTATGTAACAGGTGCATCGGAGGCCATGTTGGAAAGGTCAAGAAGCCTCGGTTTATAACCTGTGTGACCCAGAAAGTTACTTCCTCTGACTGGGCTCCATTCTTTTCCTCTATAAAATGACCAACACTGAGCTGGCTGGCCTCTTAGTTCCTTCCAGCTTACCATTGTCTTTGAACTATGAAAGTGCTTTTGTTGAAACAGCGAGTCAGGAGGTAGAGCAGAAAGCAGCATTCTTTTGTGTGAACCGATTATTGGACAACAACACTGAATGTTTCACTTATTATCTCTGTCACCAAAGAGTCCAGGCTCAGAAAATCCAAATGGACTGTCTTAGTCTGCTGTGGAAAACAAGCTCCTACGTCCCAGGGATGCTTGGCATTTTAGTGCACCCCCTTCCCACCTTTAGGTGGTCGTGACAGTTGAGCGACTGAAACCTGTTTTATGATCATAAAAATCATCAGTATTTGATATGTAAATATACCAGTACTTGATATGTAAACTGGGGAAGATAATCCAGAACTTCTTAATAAACCCACAGAGGCACTTATTCAGCAAGGAAGCAAACATTCCTTGAGCATCTGCTACATGTACGTTGCTAGGGTACAGTACAGATGGGAATAACCCTGCCCTAGAGGGACTGAGGACTATGAAGTTTATCCAGGATTGGGGTGAAAATGTAAGAGTAATTAGTTCTGCTGGCTGGCGGGAGGGGTGATCAAGAGACAAGCTGGTGTAGGTAAGAGGACCTTTGGTTTGGATTTAGAAGACCGTATTTTTAGAATCGCTGCTCTCTACTTACTAGAGCTCTCTATATTATTAATGTATAATATTTGATGTTTTTGAACCTTGGTTGCCTCATCTATCTAATTAATTAATTGTTTTGAGAGGGGGCCTTGCCGTGCTTCTCAGAGTGCTCCTGAATTCCTGGGCTCAAGCAGTCCTTCTGTCTCAGCCTCCAGGGTAGCTGGGGTGACAAGTATGCGCTAGTCACTTGGCTTGGCCTCCTCTCTATAAAGGAACTAATGTATCCTCCGCATGGTCAGTGTGTATGGAACTGTGTGCGCATGTGCATATGTATGTGTGTATGATAAAGTCCTGTCTGAGCCCTATGGACCACGTCATGTTCCTGAATACAGTGCGTTTTAAGCCAAGGGAAGAAAACATTTATGTGAAGTTAGAGCTCAGATTAAACCCAATCAGGAATCAGCAGCCCTACCAAAGTAGTACACCAGCTTGCCAGCCTGCCTTTCCTGGGCAGGTTAAGGGTCTGTACTCACCTCTTAGGTGGAACAGCAGCTGTAGTGGTCGAGGAGGTGGCAAGAAGCCCATGACCCCTGGAAACGTGTCCTCCTCTAGCTTGGAGGCTGTGGGCTGAGTGTCCGTGCTCATCTGTGCTCTTGGGGATGGAAACCGCACGATCCGTGTGTCTTGCTTCTGACCTTTCACTCCTTCCTCCCCTGTACCAGATTTGATCATGTGGGCAACCTGCTGCAACTGGTTCTGCCTGGATGGACAGCCTGAGGAGGTCCCACCGCCCCAGGGAGCCAGAGCACAGGCCTATTCCAACCCTGGGTACAGCTCCTTCCCTTCCCCGACAGGCTCGGAACCCAGCTGCAAGGCCTGTGGAGCCCACTTCGCAAGCACGTCCCGGAAGGTGAGTCTGCCCTCCCAGCCAGCTCCACCCCACGGCCTTGGTCCTTACGCCAGCCTGCTGACACACCGCCGGTGCCTGCCACCTGGCCCTTCCCCTTGCGGCGCTGACTGCCCAGGCTGTGCCTTCCATAAAAAACTCATGAACAACAATTCAAGTGAAGGCGAACCATCGCAGCACAGATTTGGAGCATTAGACCTGAATTCAGACCTCAGGTTTGCCAGTTACTGGTTGTATAATTTAACCTCTGTAGAGATTCAGTTTCCCCACCAGTGAAGTGGGGATGATAGGAGTAGCTATATACTAGTTTGAGAATAGAAAGAGATGAGCTAGGAAGAATGCTCAGCACAGTGGTTGGACAGAACAGGTACCAGTGTTGTTCCTCCACTAACCACCATTGAAAAACTACTGACTGTCACCCTGGGAGGCGGAGGCAGGAGGATTGCAAGTTCAGCCCAGCCTGGGCAACTTGAGAACTTAGCAAGACCCTGTCTCAAATTTAAAAATAAAAATATAAAAGGGGGGCTGGGGATGTAGCTCAATGCTAAGGCCCTAGGTTCATTCCCTAGTACCCCAGTGCCAAAAAAGAAAAGAAAAAAGCCTGACTACAGATTAACCTGTTCTCATTATCAAAAACAATATCAAGCTGCCTCAAGTACATCAGCAAGACCTTAGCAGACAAAGCTGGAACCTGTTTACCATAGCGGATTTCATTTGAAGTCCTTGGGGGCCTTGCTTCCCAATCAGCAAGCAGGAAGTGGAATCATTGGCTGGGTGATGGTGTGGGCACAGGCTTTCCCACTGCCAGCGCCAAAAGATAGTACATTCTCTATTCTGTAGAACAAGAGTTTTATAGCCAGAATGATAGGATGTGAATTAAAATGGTGATAACAAGAAACTTAGAGGAAATAATACTTTTAAAAACATCTGCTACATGCAAGAAACTGTTTTAAGACTTAGATTTTTAGTTTTGTTAAATTTTTTTAAATTTTAAAAAATTTATGTATTTTTGTCATTCACTTATTTATTGGTTTTTGTATTGATTGATTGATTTGTTGTTTTATTTTTTTGAGACAGGGTCTCACTGGTCCTGAACTCACTGTGTAGCTCAGGTTGGCCTCGAACTTGTGGGACTCTCCTTCCTCAGCCTCCCAAGTGCGGGGCTCATAGGTGTGTGCCACCACGCCTGGCTTGGTACTTTTTTTCATTTAATCTTCATAACAGGTTTTAGTCAAATCCCATTTTGCATGTGATAAACAGGCTAAAAATTTAAAAAGAATGTACATGTCAAGTTCTTGACAAATAGCATAAGAGACATCAAAGTACTGTACTCATACTTTTTCCTCTGCTTAAGTGCACCTCAAGCGTAACTATTAAATGGCAGAGCTGGGATTCAAACCCTGGGCTTGGACTATAAAGCTACCCCCAGAAAATACTTGGCATGTCAAAGTGAAGATTACAGGTGACAGGCCCGGGTGCTTAGGTGCATGGTAATGATTAGAATTAGCAGCGTGTTTTCTACTCCTTGGAAATAGTTTCTGAATATCTCCTGTGCGTCAGGCATTGCCTGAGCTGGGGAGGCAAAGGTGGAGGAGACCATCCTTGCTGACCACAGAACTTGAGGTTGGACAGGAAGGTTGCAGCACACGCCACACAGTGGGACCTGAAAAAAGTCAAAAGGCAAGAAGAGCTTTGTGGGAGGAGACAAGTCCCAGTTTAGATGATGAAAGATGGTTCGTGATACAATATTTTCTTGCTATAAAAGTATAACTTATTTTTGTGCAGTTCACAATGTATTTTTTGAATATTAAGGATGTTTTCTCTTACAAGAATTTTTCATTTGTAATTTCATGCTTAAGTGGACCAGTGTTCTGTTTGTTGTTTTATTTTATTTTTCTGATTTTTTTGAGACAGGGTCTCACTGTGTAGTTCAGGCTGGCTTTGAATTCACTATGTAGTCCAGGCTGGCCTCCAACTTGCAGCGATCTGCCTTGTCTCAGCCTCTGGGAGTACAAGTGTGTACCACCTTGCCTGGCCTAGACCAGCATTCTTATTTTAAAGATTTGGCATTTAACAGCCAGAGGCTTTTAGCTTTTTTATTTTTTTTTTTTTTTTTTTTTGAGACAGGGTCTTGCTATATAGTTCAGGCTGGCCTTGAACTCACTATGTAGCCCAGGCTGGCTTCAAACTCACAGTGATCCTTCTGCCTTGCCCTCTAGAGTACTGGGATTATAGGTGTGCAATGCCACGCCCAGCTAGTCAGAGACTTTTAAGATGTCTTTTCTAGAAGTGTGGTATTTTTTTCCCATTATAATCTGTTTCCTGTGTACTCTTGGGGTGCAAAGCATAGGTAACATTAAGGACTTTTAGAGAGAACACACATCATCCCTGCATTCCCCAAATTTCCAGCCTAGAGAGAACTGGTAGGCTGGCATTTTGCCACAAGGCTGCCTGTAGTATAGCAGTGGCCCTGACCATTTGGGGGGCAGTTCTGTAATTGGGCCAGTCTGAAGGGGGAGCAGTTGTACTTGGGAACATAGAAGTGGTATTCAGATCTCAGAGTAGAAACAGAGGAGGAGTGGTTCTTCTGTGCTGGGAAAACCTGAGAGATCAGGCAGAGGGGAAGGAGCATAAAAGGCGATTCTGTTACCTTTCGGTGTCCATCTTCTACTAAGATTTATATATATTATTTCACATGACACTTCAATAGTTCTTAGAATGGTAAGGTGAGACGGCGGGCCAGTGCAGAGCCAGGGCACCTGGGTGAGGAGTGGATGGGCAGATTGTCAAAGCAGAGAAAGCCAAGCACCCCACGTGTGGTTCCTGAAGGGCAGTGTCAGCCTGCGGTGCCACTGCCAGCTCAGATGCCGGTAGTTGGAGTCTACTGTGGGCGTTTCTGCGGGCACACCGCCTCCCCTAATTCACCTTCCACGCCGTCTTGTTACTTGGCTAGTTTGAACCGCTTGCTGGAATTTATACACACGTGCTTCCTTTGCTCATCCTGACCACATTAGGTGATGGCTCTTTTTTCCTCTCTCTTTGTTCTCTCCTGCTCCTTTGCTCTGAGATTTTAGCCCAGAGCACTGTCCTATTCTTTAGGGTGTGTTTTAGATGCTGCTTGACTTCAGAGTCCCCAGTGAGCAGAGGGTAACAGAAGTGGGGCTGCTGTTTCTGCATTCTGATCCTGCATCCAACAAGCCACACACATTTGAAAAACAAATAGAGAGTTGTTTGGATCTGGCTGATTGAGCAACGCGGGCTTTATAATTGTGTCAAACTAGGTCTTGTCAAACTACATTGACTTAAGTAACGTTGCATGTCAGCACTCTGAAGCCTCTTCGTTTCACTGTCAGCTATCCCAGACACATTTCATCTCCCCATAGGAAGATCTGAGATATGAATGAGCCTGTTACCCCCAAACATCCATTTTTGCACCTGCATGATTATTGATCCTAGCTCTGTTACCGTAATAGTGAAGCCGTGTGTCCTTCTCTGTCAGTCTTGCACAGTTTATAGTGTGGTTATAACTGTGTGCAGAATAAAGAAGCTTGTGTGTGTCCCTTTGCAATGCTTTCTAAATCTTAATAGCCAAGACTGGATGGTAAACCTTAGGTTCTTTTCCTTTTACCGTATGAATGACTATATTGTATGAATGACTGTTACTGCTGTAAGTGTCTTAACTGTGCATGCTTTTACGTCAGCCACACACAAGGGTTTCCTGTGTCTTGGTCTCTTGGGCATTCTTTTGTAGCCTGAACAGCTTCCTATATTTAGAAAGAGGGAGCAGAGACATGTAGGTTAATTCTTGTGTCACCACGAGATGGAAAGTTTTTAACTTCTTTAGAGGATCACTGCGTGCCCCCACCAAAGACTCTCCCAGGAAATTACCTCAGGAACTACCTCTCTTTTGTGAGGTTGACCTACCCTTAGCTGGAGCAGAGCTCAGCCAGATGGTCCTGCACTCATGCAGCCTATGGGGTGAGTGGCCAAGCTTTGCTTCCTGTGGGTCGAGCAAGCCTTGGTGCGCTGCCTGTGACTGTAGCGGAGCTGCTGCCAGGCAGGGCCAGCTTGTCTGTCAGGCATGCTCAGTGCCTGCCTGAGACACACTGTGCTTTCACAGAGGAGAGCAACCTAACAGCCAGGGTCTCTGGTAGCATCTAAGTATGTATCAGGGACATGATCTTCTGCTCTGCATACTTCCCAGCACTCGGAGTGGCCTTGCTGAGGAGGGCAGCCTGGCATCAGCCTCTGTGGAAGGCACTGGCTTGGCGATTTGGAGGTGGAAAGCCAGGCTCTGGGCTGCTGGCAGCTGGGATGGGGCTGCGCGAGCCAGCAGGGCCAGGTGGGAGGAGATCGTGGGCACTGGACTGAGATCTCAAGTGTGAGTCTCAGCTCTGCCTTTACTGTCTGACCTTGAATAGAATACTCGATCTCCCTAGTCCTCAGTGGCTTTATGTGTGATTCAGTGAAGATCGCTTATACCTCCTTTGGTTGGTGCTTTGAGAATTAAATGACAAGCTACTGTAGATAGCACATGCGACTCCCTCAATATAATTAATACTAATCGGTAGCAGCCACTACTGCCACAGCCTTCATGTAATTGCTTTCATTTCTCAGCAGTAAAGAATGAAATAAAGTAATAAAGCAGAAAGAATGACAGATTAGGATTTGAGTACTGGCTCTTTATCATTAGCCAGTATTTCTTAGCAATAATGGTTAAAACTGCTAACAATTACTGAGGACTCCTTATATGTGAGATGTACTTAAATGCATTATTTCTTAATCTTTACAACAACATTATGAGGTAAGTACTGTTACCAGCCACCTCCACCCTCTTACCAGTGTGAAAACTTAGCACCAGAGAGGCTGTTACATACCCAAGTGACATCACAAGAAATGAGGAAGGAGACTTAAAGAGGCAGAGGGTTTTTTTTTGTTCCAGATCTGGTAGTGTTCATTCACAGTGACGTGGGCACACAGGTACATACAGAAGGCCCACTGCCTCTGAATGGCTTTTAATTGCAGATCTGCAAGGTAGCTTGTACCCTTGGATTCGGAGGCAGCTTAGTGAGGAGAGTGACAAGAGCCGGTCCTGGCAGGCATGGTGACCCCGAAGTGCCCACCCCACTGTCTGTCTTGGTCTCGTGAGCTGACATGCTTTCCTCTACCTCTTGCTCTAAGCAGCAGACCTGCTTGGACTGTAAGAAACATTTCTGCATGACCTGTTCAAGCCAAGAGGGCAACGGGCCCCGTCTCTGCCTTCTCTGCCAGCGGTTCAGAGCCACAGCCTTTCAGCGGGAGGAGCTCATGAAGATGAAAGTGAAGGACCTGAGGGACTACCTCAGCCTCCATGACATCTCTACTGAAATGTGCCGGGAGAAAGAAGAGCTGGTGTTCTTGGTGCTTGGTCAGCAGCCTGTAATCTCCGAGGAGGCTAGGACTCATGTCCCCACCTTATCCCCGGACTTCCCCGAGCAGCAGGCCTTCCTGACTCAGCCTCACATCGGCACAGTACCTCCTACCTCACCCAGCCTCCCTTCTTCACCTGCACAAGCCACCTCTGTTTCCCCAGCCCAGGCTCAGGAAAATCAGCAGGTACGGCCGTGTGCAGTCCCTGTGCATACATGCCCGCGGAGAGCTCGTGTTCCGCTCCCACCTGTGCTACGGGCGTGGGCGTGGGCGTGGGTGTGAGGTGAGGTGCTTTGGTGATTTAAAGCCTTCCTGCCTCTGAATGCAGGCAGTGATGCTTCCTGGACACCAGGCCCAAGCTTTGGCTTTCTTCAGTAGTGATACACATGGAACCATGTTTTTGTAGTGTGTTTTTTGTCATACATATCCTGGTTAGACATTTCAAAAGACTTCATTGTTCCAGAACTATTTTGAGGAAACTCACCATTAACTCTCCAAATTTAGTTTTGTTCCTCTCCAACTCACCTTTGCCTGGTCTTCCTTAGCGGGACTGGGAACTCGATTCCTTGGTAGCCATCACCAGGCGCATAGAACAAAAGGACCCTGGGGAGGGAAGAGGGTGGGAAACGCACCGACAGGACCCCGCTGCTGTCCCGGTCACTGTGGGAGTGGCAGTGGCTGGAATGTTGTACTGTAGGCAGCTTTACTGTCATCCCAGGGGGACCCAGAAATGGTCACCAAGAGCAGCACACTGACCAAATCAGGAACCAGGCATGAGGGTACAGAAATGAGTAATGCATTGTCTTTCCTCACAAAGCCATGTGACAACGCTTGGACTCAAGTGAGTCAACCTCAATGTGAGGAGTGGTGATGTCACAGAGACCTACAGAAATGCCTGAGCGACTTTGCTGTTTACATGGTCTGTGCAGTAGTGGGGGCATCAGGACCTAGAACAGGGGTGGCGAACCTTTCAGAGAACGAGTGCCCAAACTGCAACCCCAAACCCTCTTATTTATCACAAAGTGCCAACCCTGCAATTAAACCTGAACACTGAGGCTTTAGTTTAGAAAAGACAAGTGTTACCCGGTGCTTGGCTGCTGAGGCAGTTTGGCTTGTGTGCCGACGGAGAGGGCTCTGCATGCCCATTGTGCCACATGTGCCATCAGTTCCCCACCACTGACCTAGAAGATCTGGGGTTTTCTGTTTGTTTTGTTTTTTGGAGGATTAACTCAGGGCTGGGCAAACACTTTACTCCCGAGCCATATCCTTCCCCTACCCCCAGCCCCATATCTACTGACTCTTAGGTCACCTTGGGCAAACTTTGAGCCTATTGTAATGAAATGCGCTTAGTAATCCTGAGGCCTTTTGATCTTGCTAGGACAGGGGGAGACTTGAGTAGCCTGCTGTCATGTCCCAAGAGCTTTAGGGCCGCAGTCCTCATGTTGCTGGTTCCCACACAGAACGTGATGGCTGCTGCTCTTGTTTATGATCACCTCCTTTGCCAGGACTGGGCCCCCTGATTCAGCTCTTGACAGGCACTGAGGCATAAAGGCCAGCATGAGAACATAATTTAACTGCAGTAAAATCATTTTGCTCCCTCGTTGCTTGGAGCATGATTTTTTCTCCAGCTGGACCTTAACCCTTTCCTAAGTTCTCTTGGTCTGCTGGACAGGTCTTGCCTCTTACGTTGTTTTTCTCCTTTGGCTTGGTTTTTGGTACTGCTGTTTATGGGGAACCAGAAGAGGAACTTGAGGAATTATTTTCCTCTAAGGGAACCTTCAAGTGGATTTTTCAACAAAAGAATATAAGCTTTTTATTTTTTTGAGGCAGGGTCTCACTATATAGCCCAGCCTGGCCTCAAACTCACAGTGATCCTCCCGAGTGCTGGAATTACAGGTGTGTATATGACCATGCCTGTCACGATCGTAAGCTTCTTGTCATTAACCAGAAATTTCCAGATTACGCCTGTAAGTCACACTGTTCTGAGATTTTCAGAGGCCCTTAGAATCCACTCACTTCCCCTGTTTTGGTGAGATTTGTTTTGCAAGCAGGAAAAACAGCCATGGAGGAGTTCAGTAACTTGTGCAAGGCTGTCATTAGGTCCACAAGGGAAGCTGCACCCACAGTGCCAGTCTTCTCATACTACTTGTTCCACCAGGATTCCATCCTTTACCTTTAATGCCCTAGCAGTAGTTGCTAGGGTAGGAAGCATGTGTAATATTCAAAATAGTGAATACATATATTGTGGATTTTGACTTAGCCAACGAGCAAATTGGAAAGAAGAGCATATTTTGCAGCACAAGGCCCAGTTTCTCTTTCTAGGGAACAAAGGACAAAAATTGTCCATTTAGGATAGGAGCAGGCAGGTCTCTGAAAGACTCCAAAGTAACACCAGGGTGGCACCATCCAAGAGGATCCAGTGGCCTGCAAAGCACACGCCTTGCCTTTGCCTTGGGGAAGAGGAGGCGAAGAGGATCTAGTTAGGGGTTTGTGGTATAAATGAAAACAGTTCACGTTGCTCTTTGGTAAAATCTTCTAAAGGAACCCGGCATGTGATGATGCACGCCTGTAATCCCAGCACTCAGGAGACTGAGGCAGGACAGTTGCTGCACGTTGGAAGCCAGCTTGGGCTACAAAGCGAGTTCAAGGCCGGCCCAAACTGCATAGTAAAACCCTATCTCAAAAAGACAAAAACAAAACAACAAAAAACCCCACCCAAAAAACCCTAAAGGAGAACCCAGGAGGGTCCTTTTGAAAAGCTAGACTCTGAGCAGATGAAATTCTTCAAGCCTAGGCATGTGTCCTCTACAGTCATAGGCTGATAGAGTCTTAGATGCCTGAAAGCAGTATTGGAGCAGGTTTTGAGGCATATCTATATCATGGTGTGCCTCGCTGGTTCAAGCTCATTTCTAGCAATAACCAGCCTGGGAAGAGGGAGGAGGGTGGTAAGAGGCTAGAAACTGCCTCCTCAGGTCACTTGGGGAAGACAGGGAGATTCAGCACGAAGGAGAAAGGCATGGTACAAGCCATGGGGAAAATCAATGGATGCTGGTGTGAGGGGCAGAACCAGGGACGAGGGGTTACAGTTACAGAGAAGACTGTTTAGGAACTGTCAAGAGAGACATTAATGGTAGAGAGCAGAGCAGGCATGAGATGGGCACCATGGATCCTTTCACCTTGAGGGTTCAAGCCGAGAATACACTGACGGTGAGTAGTGCTCAATACCATCTGTGGTGTGCAGAATTAGTGCACTTTTAGAGGGCAGCTGTAGGTCCACAGAAATGTGTTGTTTTCTCTTTTTGAGACAGGGTCTTGCTGTGCAGTTCAGGCTGGCCTTGAGCTCACTTTGTAGCCCAGGCTGGTCTCAAACTCACAATGATCCTCCTGCCACAGCCTCCCGAGTGCTGGGATCACAAGTGTGCGCCATGATACCTGGCTCTTGTGTTGTTTCTCTGCCTAACAGAGTTGGTATTAGAGATCAGGGTGTGTAACGCTCTTGTGAGAGAGTTGATTTCTGGGAAAATGGGAATACGTCTTGGACATTGTGTGAGCTGGAAAGAGGGCCATGCTATGGAAACCTGTAGACCACTTCTGTGGATGTGCTGGCATCTTTCTGTTCCTACAGGCCAATGGTCGTGTGTCTCAGGACCAAGAGGAGCCGGTCTACCTGGAGAGCACAGCCAGAGCACCTGCTGAGGAGGAGACCCAGGTGGGGCGTCTGCTCGGGTCTGCACCCTTGTCTTTGCTTTCAGTGGTATTCTCAGAAGCCTCTTAGCAGACTCAGGTAGAGAGGGGGGAACCAGTTTGTGATGGTAGTCCTCCTAGAATTCTGTTCTCAGGGGAGTTTGCTGCTGTCAGTGTGTGAGTCAGCAGTGCGAGGTCACAGTGAAGACTGGGGAGCCTCATAACCCATTATGTTCCCTGTCTCTCGGTTTTCTGAGAGCTGCCAGAGAGCAGCAATGGATGTTGCTGTGAAAATCTTGTTCTTTTCTCCTGCTTCTAGCACACAGTGACCATTGTTCGGAAAAGGAGGTCAGATAGTGAGAAGTTCAGGCCTCAACCAGGCAGAGGCCAGTGCAGAGAGCACAGTCATCAGGGCAGGGAGCTGTGGTAGAGGCTATGTAGGGAGCAGAGCCGGACAGGGCCAGCACAACCCGTGGAACTGCTATTTCTTCTTTACTAGGGGGCAGACAGCCTTTGATCAGCAACTTGCCAGGGTATTATTTAGAATTTAGTAGGGAGGTCAGGTTTCGAATAAGGGTGATCTGACTCGAACTAGTGCTCGTGGTATATCATAACAGCCATGCCTGCGCATGGAACTGTGGGTCAGAAAAAGATTATAGTCTGTTTTCCAATGTAAGGCACCATTTCAGGTATTCTGTCTGTTCCTACTCTTCTTGAGGTCAGTCACCAAATTGCAGTGTGATGAGTGCTCTGGGCTCTTTAGAGAGAAAGCTTAGTGGAAGGGAAGCAAGAGCTGAGCCCCCTCAGTCTCATCTTTGCCATTGTAGTCTATTGACTCAGAGGACAGCTTCGTCCCAGGCCGGAGGGCCTCGCTGTCTGACCTGACCCACCTGGAAGACATTGAAGGCCTGACAGTGCGGCAGCTAAAAGAGATCCTGGCTCGCAACTTCGTCAACTACAAGGGCTGCTGTGAGAAGTGGGAGCTGATGGAGAGGGTGACACGGCTGTACAAGGATCAGAAAGGACTCCAGCATCTAGGTAAGGGGCTATTGGGCTGGCAGCTGCACAGATGTATGGAGTGTTTGCTATTACCCCAAAACATGCTGTCAACCTGACTTAATTCCAATGCATTTAGCCATGGAGGAGGTGAACTTACACATTCAGACCATCTGATAGTAGCTGTCACTCATGGTCAAGTGCTAACACTGGGAATGGCATTGTATGCATTTAATCCTTAGAGTTAGCTATGCAATAGGCATTGTTAGCATCACCTTTTATTGTGGAGTCCAGATTGGAACTGAGGGTTTTCTGGTCTAAGTCCACGGCCTTTCTTACTATATGCTACCTGTTGCAGATTCCTACTGCCAACAACATTTAATTCTAGATTAGAAAGAAAGTCTTAGGGGCCAGGGATATAGCTCAGTGGCACAGCACCTGCCAGGCAAGTGCAAGGCCCTGAGTTTGATTCCTGGTACCAGAAAAAAAAAAAAAAAAATTCTTAGCACACATGGGAGGAAAATATCTGCTGTCTGCACTTCTCTTGGCATTCATTGCCATTTTACATGGTATCATTTTCAGGAGACACGGACCCCTTTTCCTCACAATACCTGAGTCTATGGTTAAGTGAGTTTAGGAACAAATACTTTATTCTGTGTGCCATTACTGACTCATGGCACATGTTTTATATCAAATACAGAGAAGTCCTGTAGAAGAGAAATGTGTTTGGCTGTTTGAACTTGGCATTTCCTGAAATTACTTCACCACAGAGCCCCCGCCTTCCTTCCCATCTCAAGTGCTTTAGTTCCCGGCAAACATCATTTTGATTCCTTGCACGATAACAGTGGGTGACAAGGGTTCCGAGCTCGTCTAATAAATTCGAACAGCTCAGATTCATCAGAATCCAGCTCCTCACCTGATCACAGACTGAGCTTCTGACGTGGATCTCAGTCTTCCTTTTGGGACTATTTTAAGTGTCTCCCAGGGAAGTAGAACATTGACTGCACATGGGAACTTTATCCAGAATCCCCAGCTGATGGAAACAGCCACATTCTTCATTCTTTCTTGACTTTAATGCTGGCTTCAAAGGCAGTAGAAAAGGATATTGTGCATGAACTTCTGGTTGGCAGTTTGGTCATGTAGACCAGCAGAATACTTATGCACACCAGAGGAGCTCCATCTGAGTTCTCCGTATGTATGTGGAATAAGGAGGGCAAGTGTCCGCCTCGACTTCTGGCAAGCCGGGAAGTTGGGGGGAGTTCAGAAATGATGCCAGGGTGGCAAGAGACATCTTGCGCCATCACGTGTTACCTATTTAGACATCTTTCTCTTTTCTTTCCAGTGTGTGGTGCAGAAGACCAGAACGGTAAGGATTAGTTTCTGTTTGGGAATGGGCTTAAGGCTTTTAGCAGTTCTTTCTCTGCCTTTACGCCTGATCCTGGCTAACAGCTGAAGAAGCTTGCTGAGAACCAAGTTTCTCAGCATCTTTAGAAACCCTCTCCGTACCCTTGTCTCCTGTGAAGAAAGCAGAGTCGCAGAGCCTGAAGGCAGATTGAGTGCAGGAGCCATTTATATCATTTTTCCGATTCCTGGTGTTTTACTTCCATTCAGGTCTGGGTGGGGAGTCTTTGTACTTCGGGGAAGTCACTTGAGATGTTATTCAGCTGCTGGTACCAACCATAAAGCAAGGGTGGTGACCTGATAGCCCAGTTTGTATGGGGCTAGGGAGTAGTTGGAGCTGCTCCGGAGACAGTAGGAAAGGTGTCACTCAGGTGCTGTCTGGACCTGAGATGCATATCCCACCTCAGCTGCCATGTACCCACTTGTATCCACTACTGAGGCATCTGACATACTGCAGAACTCCTGACAACTAGGGTATGTTCTAAAGCATGCTGTATGATTTTGAAGCCTCATGGGATGTGGTTAGGAGTTCCTTCCCAAGACAGAACATTCTCAGAATAGTGGTGGGGCCTACAAGGCATTGAAAAACTTTTTTTTCAAAAGATAATCCCACATTTGGTGCTCAGATCAGGGCAGAGTTGAGCTTTTCACAGTTCCTTGGAAGCATTTGGAAGTCTAGACTGACTCCTTACTTGACACCAAGATCAGATTAATCCACTTGATGCCTTGCTCCCTTTTTCTCATTTCCTGGGAGTATGTAGACAATTGAGTCAATTTATTGTTACTCCTGAGAGCAGTGAATAACTGAAATTCTACAAATTAGCTGAGCTTACCTTAGGTACCTTCTGCCAACAACCCCTCAAAGGAGGTGAATAGGTTTCTTTCTTTCACAGCTTGCTCACCACCTAAGTGGTTTTTTGTTTGATTTTTTTTTTTTTTTTTTTTTTTTT